CCCATTCCCGAACTTACTATAATAATGAATGCGAAGTACAACGTGCGGAACTGTCCCCCCCCCCCACCCCTCACCCATTCCCCTACTTACTATAATAATGAATGCACAGTACAACGCACGGAACTACCACCCCTTCCCCAACCTATCTATAATGAATTTTAACTAAAACGGTAGTGCCTGGGGGGGGGAGGCGCCTACGCCTACTACTACTACTACTACTACTACTACTTCCACTTCTACTTCTACTACTGCTACTGATACTCTAACTATCACTATCACGATAGCTCAAGTTTCAGCCAGGGGCACCAGGTACCCACGGAGGGCAGCTGCGGCCACTCCGTCTCCTGTGTCGCCTGGTAAGGCACCTCCAATCTGAACTGTATCAAAGCAGGCGAGGGTCAAAGAGAGTGGAATCAAGTTGCAAAGGATCTGCTACCATTGTTACACTGTTTGGGGAATCACTTATGTTTTTACTATTATTAGTATTTCTCATAAGTATTTGTAATAATTCTTCCATGAATTTCATGCTTTTCCAACCTCCCGGCATAAGAGTTCGCCTTGCCTCGGCAGATTCAACCTGAAATTCCTTCGGCGCATCCTGCCATCAACTGAAAAATGAATAGTGCCGGGTGACATGATATGTACTGCATAGTCTAAACTCCCTAAAGGGGGGTTACGTTATACAGGATTACTATAAGTAGATTAAGGGGGATGCCAGGAGTTTAGACAGTGGCTCCTGCTTTCATCTCAAATTGGGGGCTTGCGCCGTGCTTGAGCGAAACTTGGGCGTTTGCACGTGTACATTGTTTGGCTCAAAATCGTTTTCGTGTAGGCCCGTCACACTTTGTGAGCCCCTGCGCGGTTCCTTGCGCTGCGCTTGCACGCACCTTGCGCGCGCGTACTTTTGGAGAAGCTATGCTATACTTAGTTTTCGTTTGTGCAAATCAAAGACAAGGGATTTAGGACAACCCCCCATATATGTGCGTAGACAGCTGGCATGTGAAGCGCTTCTGTGGCTGCGTGGGTGAGTGGATGAGCAGGGCAAATCAGCTGAGAAGCAGAGGCTCAGTAGCTTTTGGGTGGGACAAACGTCATCCTGTCCCACTGCTCGCAAGGCCAGGGTTGGACTGGACTTTAGTTAATGTATCGAACTCTTAAATCCTGGGATTTCCGGTAGCAGAACAGGGAACCCACCCTGGCTTGCAGGCGGTCTGCTGCCTCTGTCGCTGGCGTCGGTCTCAGCGGGCTGTACCTTCAATTTAGGCCATGGTGGTTAGAAAACACAGGCTCTGCAAAGCTTTTCCTAGCTGACGGCACCATCGGCACGCGTTAAAATCCGGCAGTTAAAGCTAAGCGCACTGCAACTTCACCCTTCATCAAAATGTCTCAAGTGGGATCTGCTCTGAGTCAAGGCGCCACGTCCCAACTGAAGCCAGCATATGCCAGGGCTGATTGGAGAAGGCGCAGGCCTTGCGGCTCCGCGGCTATCAACTTGATCAGTTTGAGAGTTTCAAACTGCAACGTGCCGGCATTCCAAGTGGTCATGGCGATGCGAAAATATTCATGCTCACACTGTCAAGGAATACCAGAGACCTGCCTTAAGATCAACAGGCTCCCTGGCTACCTATCTCAATTTCTTTGCATGCCCTCCACTCGAAAGCAAGCCCCATGTTGCCTCGGTTGCCTTTGCTACCGCGGACTGCTTTGCAGGCTGATGCCTGGTGCCAACCTGACAACACTTCAACTGATTTTCTGGGATTCCCCTCGAAATTACTCGAACTGCACAGGGCCTCCGTTTCTGCAGCGCTGAACATAGGGGAGGTGCCTCCTGCAAATCTTGATGCAGGGATGAACAATTGAGGAATACGCCTCTAATTCAAAGCTTCGGAGGACCCAGATTCGTCTCCACTCTGCAAAACAAACATCGTCATGCGGAGCAAACATCGCCATTGCCCTTGAACACTGAGCTGGGCTGACCCTGCGACATCGCTTTGGCAGGGGACGCGCTGGCCTGTACCAAGTTCGTCAGGCGTTCATGTAGGACATCAGGGGGATGCGTAGGAAGGGTACAGACTGCAGGTGCTGAACAGTAGCAACCCCTCAAAACTGCATAATAATCCACAATATATCATAAGTTATCATAATATCATGACAGCTCACTGAGGATTCATGAGCACCCAGAGCAGAGGCCGTCTCAGATTCTCTGCTCGCTCCTGGTATCTAAATCTAAGGATCGAACAGCAAGCACGAGGTCTTCCACAAACTGTCCCGCGACAGCGCGCTCGTGCTCCACCTTCCCAGCACCAGCAAAGCTAGGTCGGTGCTGCTGCATGTGTGCTTCAACCTGCCTCCTCCCCTCGCGTGGACAGAGGCATCTCCTGCTTGCATTGAGCAGGACATGGCATGTGCCAAGTCATCAAGCAGAGACTGCAAACGCCCAGCTCCTGAACCTCTGCTGGAGGTGGCGCGGCATCCTGCAAAAGCATGCTTGACGGCACTGGTGGTTGGCAGCTGACCCGATGCCCAGGATGTGCACCAAGCTCAACTCTGCCCGCAAGAAAAAGCCGTAAGCCTTCTGAGGCTTCGCCACAGGTGTGGGGATCATGTACCTAGATGCAGTCGCAATGGGCTCCAGTCATGCTCGCCCATGGACATGGTTACGGAAGGGCACCATGTTCCCACAGATGGCATCATGTTCCACTCGGGCTGCTTCACCTCCTCTCTCTCCTGAAGCCATGGCAAAGCGCATGGTGAAGCTCTCTGTTGCGTGCACAGGCGTGTCCTCCTCGAGCTTTTCTAAGGGTCCTGCAGGCAAGGTTTAACAACAAGACATCTTTCCAGATTACAAACATCCCACCGTCAGGCTTGATGGACTCTGGCATGGCGCCCGCTGCGGCAGCCTTGTCGTCACAAGCCCATTTGGTCCAGACATGCTTGGAGCCAAGCTTAATAGCTTCGTAGTTAGAGGCAGTGTATCCCCCCCACCGTAAACTTACTGGTGCTTAGTAGGGATTATGGGACAACATTATATAGGGATTGTATTCCCTTGTTCCCTACTACTGTAACAACCCGAAAGTTAGTCATAAACAGTGTAGACCCAAGCCCCTTTGCGGTTGCACCTCCGGAAGTAGAGCTGCGATGGCACCTTACAACTCAAAGGTAACAGCAGGGTCACTGAAAACAGGTGGAAGTATGCATTGCTGGCGCGCATGTAATCATTTGGGGCATGATGATATTAACCATGAAAAAGAGTGAATAGTAGTTATAGGAATAGATAAATCCGTTTCCAGACCTGACGTTGTCCTGGAGGGACCAGCCTGCCGATTTGAACTAACAGCGCGTTCTCCCTCCTTTGACAATTGCGACGAGCAGGACAGGCACTCTCCTCACGATAGCTGTGTCCTCTGCAGCAACCGGTCACGAAGTTGCGTGTTGGCAGCGATCTTTCCCAGTTGCCGCAGCACAAGGTCACCAACGCCCTCAACATAATATCTCTGCATCTTACCGTCGGGGCATTTTGGATGCGAGTCCTCCTTCTAGCTTTGAAATAAGTGCATTCTCTTCTCGAACAGCGGCTTTCTTGGAGAAGTTCCGTACCCGTCAGGGTATGTTTTAAAAACGCAGCCATGCAGTAGCTGTGGCAGCAGCAGAGCATCTTTCGCGGCGAAACAAACAGGGTCACGCAGGGCGCCATGTGACATTCTTCGATTCACACTGAGCGCCCACACCCCAAGGGTCGGATGGCCGGTCCTGTAGCAGATGTCAGCTTTGCAAACATGGGTCGAGACTTCCGACTGCTAACCCGGATGCAAGAGCGCCGTAGTCCTGCACCAGTGTCCGCAGGACCCGCTCCACGAAGTTGAGGATGTTGTGGTCATCTAAGTACGACCTCGCCTGGTTTGGCAGCTGCAAATTGAACAGATAAGTACTCTCATCTTCACGTCATGAACCGTGCGGCAACGATGGCGGTGAAACGGCGCGAACGAAGGCGCTGACTTTAAATCATGTCACATGCAGATCCCAAATAAAGCTGGTCAATGCTTTAACAACTTGTGGCTAGGCCTCAAATGGTGGTGGTTCAGGGCGCGGGTACCCTTGAATCGGCAAACCACTGAGCTTTTAGGATCGGAACTGGTGGCATGGGCTGAGGAAGATCAGAGGCCATGCGCAAGGCAGCTGCAACGACAGTAGGGTCGTTTCGTACTTGAACTGGGCAGAATCCATAGAATCCTGCCTCACTCAACATATAAATGAGTTCAACCAGTGGCTGACATGACTTTCGTCCCGCTGGTCCCTCTCTATCTAAGATCTCAAATCTGTGCTAATCACCATGGCCACCAGCTCGACAAACTCCTCTTGCAATCCAAAACTCACACACTATCTTGACCAAGCTTTGACAAGTTCATGTCTCTCACAGCAAGGCGAAGGCTTGAACATATCTGCAGTGCGTCCTCTTCCCCGATTCCGCAACAGCTGCCTGTCTGATGGGCGAAGAAAGAAAATTTGTGAAAAAAAGATTCAGGTCTTAGATCTCGCCTCCCAGTCGCTGGAGGAGAAGCCAACACCCCTCAGTCCGATCTCTGAGTGCGCGGGATTTTGAAGCGTGGGCCTGTTAAAGTTGAGGGCCTCATGAATGATAAGCACTAGACTATTCTCAACAATGGCGTCCATTGCAGGGTTTACGTTCATTTTGAACGCCTTCAACCTTCCCAAAAGCTGAACCCCGTTACCTAAACTTGGCTTCTCACGTTCGATCCGCTGCCCGAAGCCTGGACATGGGTATCTCATCCAAGCTCACTTGCACACAGTTGAGAATAAGCCGCATTGCCGTGCAAAAAGTGTGCCACCTCTTCTTGGCCTAAAGTGAAGCGAATGGTATTGTGTCACGGATGGGCATGCGTTTGCATCATGTTCTCGATTGATTGCCACCCTCCACCACGAATCACGAGCATACCTAGACAAGACCCAAATTTTCCCCCAGATGGCAAGAATACCAAAAGATCCCCCGAACTGTGATAGATCAAACATCTTCAATCTCCCATGCACGGTGTACCCCATAAGTTCCCATAACTACCAAGGGTATTTACCTTCTCCCCAGCAAAGACGGGGCTCGGCTCCTGAGCGCCCCCTGCAGCAGCTCGTCCACTGGCACTGGGGGATAGTGCCTGGCTTCTGAGGTCTGGCCAGCAGACGGCAAATGGCTGAAACCATGTCTAGGTAGTCTTGATAAAACATGTGTGAAATTATCACTGGCCTGCAATGTCATGAAGTAAACTAGCTGGCAGGGCTGAAGCATCCGCATGCAGTCCGTGAAGTCTCCAGCAAGAAGCACCTCCAAAAGGAAATCGCGTTTCAAATGGAGCTGCCAAGGAATCACATTGATGTGCTTTCTTTGGCGTCCGTCACCATGACTATGTACTCTGTCTTGGTGAGTTTTGCTGTAGCCACGCTGTTTGAAGAGTTGTGTCTTCCGAGCGGACGACAGCCTTTTCCTAACTTTCTGGCTGCCTCCCGGATGCCAATGACCATCGCGACGCAAAGGTAGCCTGACTTTCAGAGACTTCAGATGGCAGGTCAGCGTTGCTGAACCCGACATCAGCAAAACACGCCGAGCCCGAAACAGAGGAGTGGGTGCGGCCGAGCCAGATCGCCTCGACGCTGATTGCTCAGGATTGCTCAGGGTGCGAGGAAGAATATTCACTACGTCAGCGGGAAAAAGTTTACGTGGCTTCTGCCCTTCTGCCAGCGGTGATCTAGTCTGTGGATTGCTCACCTTTAATCAGCCCCTCAAGTCAAGTCGAACACTGGGGCAGGGGCTTAACAGTGAGTCCCACAGCCGCAGCACATCAGCCATGTCGAGTTCCTTCCACAGTTTTTAAGCTGGGGAACGCCATGTTGCGATGGCTTGCTACGGACTTGTCATAGGGATTGATGGCTAGCAAGTCAGGTGGTGCATCCCGAGATCAATATCATCCTCCACGCCAAAAATGAGTCATGATCCACTGGTCCTGCGTCAACATCAATGTCAGCCACCTGGCCATGCACAAAAGTGCCAGCCGAACCCTTGCAGAAGCTGTGTGTGACTCAGGTCGCTACGGAACGGTGTAGTACACAGGGGACACCCGGAGCTCTTCCAGATGTTTCCAGACCTGACGTTTTGCAAGACCTCCATGGAAGCATTCAGCTCAAAACCTAACAAGCGACTGCCTCTTGGTCCTTCTCCTTCAGAAGCTCACTGAATTGGTCGATGCGCCCCATCATGCCACCTTCCTCATTGTCCATGGTCTTCACAAAGGTGTCTCGCATGTCAGACATCAGCAGGCTGAAGCAGAAAAAAGTGTCTGCCTCAGTTGCAGTTGTCAAATAAACATGTCCTTCTGCGGCAAACTGTACTCGGAACCGCTAGCCACAAGATGGCCATCGCTCTGGATCTGCCAAGCTGCTTCTGCATACTGGAAGTTCAGAGGATCTTGCGCAAACAGATAATACAGCGGCGCACACAGCTCGTTCATGCCCTGTACATACCGAACGCCGCGGTTCAGCTTGGCATAAAGGAGCAAGATCCGCGCCAAGACGTCATAGTGGCTCTTGGGACTCATAACGTCAATGCACTCAGGATCTCTGCTGGTAACAGCTAATGTGACCTCGGAGGGGTCGAAGGTCTGTCGGCCGTCCTGCATCTGAGCCATCGGCAAAACTCTAAAAT